TTCCTTTCCCCCCCCCCTTCTGCAGCCAGACCCTGATTTCAGAGCCCTTGTTTCCTTGCACACCCTTGTCCTGCTGTCTGTCCAGCAGTAAATCTCTCCACACTTTCCAACAGCATTTTTTCCCCTGGTAGGTGCAGGGACCAGGAGGAGGAAGCAGGGAAGAGCCGTGACCAGCAGCAAAGACCCTTTTCTAATTCCTCCATCACCCTGAGCCCATCTGAAGCCTCTCTCCATCGTTCCTCACACAGTCCCAGGTAACATTCCCTGTCCCAGAGTTCAGACAGGGATAAAGACATCAGATCCCATTAGGCTGTGAATGAAAGTTTGCAGCTCAGCTGGTTTCTTTCCTTCCCTGCTAAAATCCAACCCCTCCCTGCCCTGGGAGAGCTGCCTGGCTCCTCTCTGCCAGGGCAGGACCCAGAATGGGTGAATTAAGTTGATTTAATAGTAGGAGTTGACTGCAATAAATATCCCTGTGGGGGATATACCACAAAGGCTGGAAAAAAAGAGAATTAGAGCTTGGTTTTTGTGCAGCCTGAAAAGGTTTTGCTTGAGATGAAGAAACTGCCAAGGAAGGAGGGTCTGGAGTCAGGTGGTTGGTCTTAAACATGGGGTGAGCACATAATTACCTTTACTTCTAGGAAAACGAAGCAGCTGTGAAGGTGGTGGTGCCTGGGATGTCTTAATTAGCTCCTTAATTTAATTGAAATCCCTTGCTGGGAAGGGCTGGAAGGGGAATCTGATTCCTGCCAGCTGAGATCTAATAGAGTTGTTGGAGCCTTTCTCAGCAGGGGACAAGCTGTCTTTTGTTTCTTTGGTAATTAATAGGTAAGCTGGGTCAGCTCAGGCTGTTAAACCTTTAACTCTGCTGGGGACAGGGTGTCTGTGTCTCAGAGATGCTGTTGTCCCAGGGGAGGTGGCCTGTCACCAGGGTCTGTCACCTGGGTTGGTGTATTTTGCTCCTCTGGTCCTGACACAGCCCTCAGAAGGCAGCAGCACTGTGTGGTGGGTGGGTGCATCGGCCTCAGGTTGTGCCCAGGGCAGTTGAGATGGGATGTGAGGAAGAATTTCTTTGCTGAAAGGGTTCTGAGGCATTGGAAGGGGTTGCCCAGGGCAGTGGTGGAGTCCCCATCCCTGGAGGGATTGAAGAGTCGTGTAGACACAGTGCTGAGGGACATGGGTTAGTCATAGGGGACTGGTCAGTGTTGGGTTCATGGTTGGACTCCATGAGCTTAAAGGGCTTTTCCAATCCAGGCCATTCTGGGACTCTGAGATCTTCCAAAGCAGATCGAAATGTCCAGTGAAATCCAGGAGGCCAGCAGGATGGGAGCCCTGACTGAGATTTGCAGACAGAATATTTCTCAGGCTGCCTTGAAAAACACTTTGTTTTCTCTTTCTCTCTCTTTTTGAAGTGTGAGGCTGTTTGTGCTCCTGAAATTTCCCCCTTTCTTATGGATCAGAAACCTTTGCTTTGGCCAGATGCTTCTGACAGTGAAAAAGTAGGTGTGAGTGTAAGCAGCTGAGTGTTTGGAAATGCTTAATGAAATCATAAAAATCCCAGACTGGTTTGGGTTGGGAGGGACCTTAAAGCTCATCCAGTTCCAACCCCCCTGCCAGCAGCAGGGACACCTTCCACTAGACCAGGTTGCTCAAAGCCTCATCCAACCTGGCCACAAACACTTCCAGGGCGGAGCAGCCACAGCTTCTCTGGCCAACCTGGGACACTGTCTCACCACCCTCACACCAAACAATTTCTTCCTCACATCTCAGCTCCATCTCCCCTCTGCCACTTTCAAGCCATCACCCCTTGTTCTCTCACTCCCTGCCCTTGGCCAAAGTCCCTCCCCACCTTCCTGGAGCCCCTTCAGGTACTGGGAGGCCACTAGAAGGTCTCCCTGGAGCCTTCTCTTCTCCAGGCTGAACAGCCCCAACTCTCTCAGCCTGTCCTCACAGCAGAGCTGCTCCAGCCCTCGCATCATCCCCGTGGCCTCCTCTGGACTGGCTCCAGTAGCTCCATGTCCTTGTGGTGTTGGTGGCCCCAGCACTGGAGGCAGCACTGCAGGTGGGGGCTCAGGAGAGCAGAGCAGGGGGCACCAGCAGTCAGGGCATCAGAGCAGCTTCCCCAGTGCCAGCAGGTCAGTGTCACCTTGTCCCTGGAAGGTTTTGGCTAAAAGCTGGCTGAAGACCACAGATGTGTGTGGTTTCTCCTTCCATAGATGTTTTCATTGCTGAAACTCTTTGGTTACTGATTTTTCCAGCTCAGTATTTTTCTTTGCTCTGAATGGGAATTGTGGCTTTTTATCAAAGAGCTTAAACAAAAACCAGTGTTGGGAACTCCAAATGGTTCTTGTGTCAGCAGTGAGACAACGTGCTGAGGGGCCAGGCGGGAAGTCTCCTGGACAGAGCAGCCCCTCACGAGCCCCACTCTTCCTTCCTCCTCCTTTCACAGCATGGCTCTTGTCTCTTCTCTCAAGAGACTTCTGATAATTCCTCAAATCACCAATATATTTGAGTTTTCTCTTTCCCCCCAGCACCTGCAGCTCTGTTCCTCCTGGTCCCCCCCTCATTTCTAGCTGGGTTCTGTGCCTGCTCCTGTTTTTCATCCACCATGCAGTGGACTTTGGGGTAGCATGAGCCACACAGGAGATAGTCACATAAAATGGGGCTTCCTCTTGCATGGGCAGAAGGGTGGACTTGGTAACTGAACATCTCTCCCTTGTGTTTATGTTCAGGGTGGTTCAGTATCTTCTTCCTCCTGCTTTTTCTTTTGGAGTTTCAAGGGAAATCTCTCAGCTGCTTCATTTTGTTCCACAGCTGCGTGTGATCTGGACGAGATGAGATGAGAAGCAGGAAGGTGGGAGGTAAACAAGGTGACTGGGGGAAGGAGTGAGCTGCTCACCTGACTGACTCCAGCCAGGTGAAAGCTGTCAGCTCTGATTAAACACAAGGGCAAAATGAAAATCTCTAATCAAACAGATTTCATTTTGTTTTCAACTCCTCTTGGTATCTCTTGCAAAGATTTAATTGAAGGCTTCTCTGTGAGCTGGTTGGGGTGTCTGCTTCCAGCCAGAACAGCAGAGAAGCAAAAGGTCTCGTTGATTAAATTAAATATCTGGGTCACTTCCCATTACCTGGGTTTATTCTCTGGTGAGTTTTGATGTTGGAGGAGGAGGAGGAGATAAAAGGAACATGTGCAGAAAGAGATAACTACGACTGGAGCTGCCCCAGGCAGAGGCCACCTTCTAAATGGGTTTGTAGATGAGCTTTTCCTATCAGTTTTGGGTCCTGGGTGAGGAGATATCAGGTGTGTGCAAACAAACTTGTTTCTTTTTTCCCCTCCTCTCTTGGCTCAGTGGATATCCTTGATATCCAAAAGCCAAACTGGACAGAATCTTCCCATCCTGTGTGTCTTAAATAATAACCTTAAGATGGGGGAGTTGTAATGCTTGATTCAAGAAGTTATTCTATTTCTTTGAGCTTTGTAAAGCAAATAAACATCATGGTCAGCTCCTTGTGTTCTAGAGCTGCACATTTTCTTCACTTAATTATTAAGTTTGCATATCAAATGTGGCTAATTCTTTTTCCTATACTACATTTTCAAAGCTGGAGGGGGTTGGAGAACATTCTCCCAGAATTTAGCATTGGCATTTCTACCAAAAACTGATCTCTCCTGGCTGGCTGGAGACCACCAAAGGGAGAAGTGAGTATTCTGGTGTGTCTTTGGTTCCCCACTAGCTCTAGCTCAGGCTGTGTGAGCTCTCCAGTGCCCTGGTTTCTCTGTCTGTAGTGAGAATGTTGGAGTCTTTCAGGATGTTGCAGCTCAGTCAGCATCTAAGAGAGTTTCGTGGGCTTCACAGCGGCGAGGTCAGTTGTGTCAGCAGTAATCTGAGCGGCTGCAGGTGTCAGGCAGCAAGCAAGGAGCTCCCAGTGCCTCTCCTCCTGCTATGTGGGGTGAAACATCAGCTTCTGGTGTGAAACCAGTTGCTTTGCAGCGCAGGCTGGTTCCCTGCAGCCTGCTGAGGAGTGACTGTTGCATTTTAGCAGCCATGGAAATCAGAAACTTCCGAGTGGAAATCTTTCTCCAGCGCTAAAACTGCTGCTGACTTGGCCAAGAGCCTTGCAGAACTTGATGGCTGAAAAGTGCACATCTTAATCCCAAAGCACATCCCCTTTATGAAAATATTCCCACTTTTTTTCCCTGCCTGAGCTGCCTGTATTGAATTTTTTTCCTGCT